GTATTTATGGTTTCAAGGGGAAACGATGCTATTGGCCTGCCCTAGCCCTATGCTACCACCAGAGGAAGGTGAAGAATAGTTTTCTCCAACTTTGAAAACTACCAGCAGAAAGTACTGCCATGTAATTGCAAAGAATGTAATGTCTCTTTAGGGATGACCAAGACTGATTTATACAATACTTTTGTTTTAAAGGATAGAAAACTGGTCGGTGATTATTCCAATTCAAACTACTGTTGATTAATACAAAAAATAAATATAATAAATGTGGCTCTACCAGAAAAAATAAATTAAAAAAAGATAGAATACTTCTCTAAGCGTGATGTCATAGTGGTACAATTACATCATACTTTGTCAGAGACGGTAGCTTTTAGACAGAAGGGGCGGGGCTACATGTTTGTACCAGAAGTTTCTGATTGATTCTCTGATCTGTGTTTGCAAATTCAACGGTTTTGTAAGGTCTTCTGAGATAACCACTGTTGTGATTTAGGGCGATACAAAAAGTTTAATTGAATTTAACTGAAAGACGACCGCTATGTTTAGCCCAGAGTCAGGACAAAAAATGGGGGAGTCTGTTTTGAATGAGGGAACAACATTGTAACATGGATAAAAGCCCAAAAAGTTGATTTTTCATAATGTCTTACATGGTTTTGTGAAAATTATTCATACTACTTTAAAACTGTTCCAAAAATATAAATCGCACTGAGGTGAAGGTTAAGTATTGGTCAATATGCCAAGGCAGGTATCAACTTTGTAAATGTACTTTTTAAAAATTGAGCATTTCAAATATATAAAATAAATCATTAAAAATATGGATTTTAATATCGTTACTTGCATGATTTATGTGTGGTTTTCTTTGAGCTGAGTTTGTTAAGCTTGGAAGACAGGAACCTTCACCAGTGCTTAAAATATATGAATGGATCTTGAACAAATGCTCCATGAAGTCCAGGATAACGAGGCACAATATGGAAACCATTTCATGTAACCCAAAATGGCCATGCATTTAATGAAGCAATCTTTTTTTTTTTTTTTGACAAATGTATAGTCCTTAAACCCGTGGAAATCCAGGGGTGAGAGAAAGGTAAAGAGTGGGAGTTAAGCGAGCGCATCGGCAGTGGTAGGTAGAATTGCGTTTTCTTTGTAGAGTTTGTTTGGGTTGGCGCTGGTGTTAATGGGTTAATGTGGCTGAGAACACAGAGCAGTCTCTACGGCAGTCTGCGCCCCTGGGTCACTCACACACTCACTTTTACCCTAGGGTTAGACAGACGCAGCCTTGTACAGACAACCCACACCAAAGGATGAAAAAGAAAAGGCAGTACTACAAGTGGAATGATGAGTGGATGGATGATTGATCGGTGTTTTTGCACAAGGCTGGTCTGAGATTTGAGTGTTTTGGACATGGCATTTAGGCTTTGATCAAGTTAGAATCTACTCAGACTTCTGTACTGTCTAAATTCACAAATGATCTCAACCGTGATGATCCAGGACATATATTTATTCACTTTTATTAACATTTATGGACACTGGTCATCCTGCTCCCTATGAACTAATGATTCCTATGTTTTGTTTTTATTACAACTGGACAACAGGAACTTTAAATCCTTTGCTTAAACTGAACTTGGACTGGGTTGGTTTTAATCATGAAGCAACTGAAGCGATTTTGACCAGGAGTTTAGGATTTAGGATTTTTTGCCTGGATGTAATACAAATTAAAATGTTTTTATGTGTTGTTATGTTCAGTTTACTCAGAATTAGCCCTAAGTGGCAGAATCCTAGACGCTTTCTATACAGCAACCTGGCTTCCCTCAATTTTTTCTATGCTGTTTTAGTAGTCTTCTATCTATGTTTCAAGGCTCCACCTTTTTTCTCTTACACATCAAATTTATGAAAAACTCTTAAGGGTTAAAATGTTAAATAATCGTTAATTTACAAAAACCAATATCTCAGTTTCGGTTGTACTCCCCGAGCTACGATCTTAAGATAAGATGGACTTTATTGATCTCACTATAGACAATTTTACATGACACATTTGACATAGGCTCACTCTCGGTGTGCAAAAAGGTAGACCTTTTGCTATTGGCAAGAATTCGGTCAAGCCTTTCAGATAATTTTCTAATGGCACTTATCTGTTTTGCATATGAACTATTCAATTGCAGACACATATATAACATCTAACTGGACAGGTTATGTTAGACCCCAGAGCATTTCAGCCCTGCACTGGAGCTCAGAGGAACAGAGGAGCAGGATGAATGGTTGAAAAGGATTATTCTGTGTCTCCTTTGGTGTTGTCTGTTACTTCTAATAGGCCTGGGAACACTTAGAGCACTTTAACCAGTCTGACCACTCTGACCCAGGGGCCAAAGGGTTAAAAGCTTGGCGTTGACAGCGAAGATGACGTGGAACTGTGGCATAGGCAGAAAAAAAGAAATATGAAGACCATGAAGGTGATTGAATGAAAGAGAAGGTAAAGTTTGATCTCTGTGTACGGATGTGGACCTCTTACTTTGTCATTGCGCCCGACAGAGAGTTGAGAAGGTTTTGTGTCGATGTCTGCGGCGTCCTGGATGACTAAGAGGACGTGTCATCGTTCCCTTTTATCTGCTCTCATCGGTCTCAGGTCGTGCTGCTCTGTCTATCTTCAAACTGAGGCCTCATTTAGCCCGCGGCCGTGTGTACTATAGTCTGGGGAACAAAACATCCACTGATAACTGATCTTCCTCTTTCCATTTCATAAAGGTAGAACGTGAGTCCGTGGGATTTGATAACAATGGTACCGTTAGCCCATATTTAGTTTGTTTAGTCCAAGCTAAGAAGGAGTCGCTGCTGAATTCGTGGTAGTTTTTTGTCTCCCTTTTATGCTTTTTAATGAGAGTTTAGGATAAGGTGGAATATGGGGACTATTGAACAATCAATCAATCAATCAATCAATCAATAATAAAGAACAATCCAATTTATACCCGTCTTGTTCACACTGGGGACCTTTGCAAATGTTTTCCAATGTGGTTTTACTGTAAATGGCAAAAAAATGAATCTGTATCTGACACTTCCAATTTATTTTTAGACGTAGGGAAAACCTGATTAAAGCCTATGCAGACACAGGCAGAACATGCAAAGTACACTCAGAAAGTCCCTGTGTCCAGCGGGATTCGAACACATGACATCTTGCTTAGAGGCGAGAGTCCTAACTACCAAAGGATGGTAGAAACAAAGAAAATAACTGCTTAAACGATGTGACAAATCCAGTATAACACAATGTATGTTGTTTATTCAAGGCATAAATGTTGTCTATTGTCTCTACATATATTATTTTGTTAATTTGATCGTCCGTGTGTGAGGTATGTGTTTTTACGGTTGCCAAAAAATACACATGATTGATTACTACAAAATTGTTTTACCTCACCTTTTGTACCTACAGTAAAGATGGCGCCGTGGCAAGAGCTCTAGTGTGTGTCGTCTGGTGCACACTGGGGTAGTCTTGCACAGTTTTTCCTATGTGGTTTTACTGCAAATGGCAAATAAATTAATCTGAATCTGAATCTGTATTACTTCCATCTGCTATAGTGGTACTGCTTGTGTCTTGCCCATCATTGCTTCGAAGGAGTGCAATTACTAGATACGTAAATGTCCAATCTGAAATGACTTCTCCTTGTCCAGAAACGCACACATACTTGGTCGGCAGTCACCTGTATCAGCGGGCGCTCCTCACGGCCCATTACTCCACCACACACCCCAGCCCAGGCCATTAGCTGTAATATATCCTTCCTCTCGCGCTCACACCGTCTCTCCTGCTCTCCGGCTACTCTTACTCTTTGTTGGTTTTGGAATATTGAAAGGGAAGCTTCAAGTCATCGCCCTCCTCACATATACTCGTCCTCTAATGTAAGCGTCGCTGGATGTAAGTTCTCTCTCCGCACCTGAGCCCCAGTTGTAGCCGTGCCTCAGATCTCGGCTTAAAACGTGAGCGGATCTGGTCAGTGTTACTGTATCCTGTTCCATCAACAGCTTCAAAACGCTGACGCTGGAAGTGTGTGGTCTGCTCGACGCTGTCTCCTTGATGCTTTTCTTCTCAGTGTTAAGAGAAATTCAATGCAGTCGTCTGAAGCATTTTGCACCTATTTTGGATAGAATTTTTTTTAAATAAATGCAAATTCCTGTATAGTTTGAAACGTGGTCCATGTGATTTATGTCATTGTAAGTTTTCCCTGTAAAATTTCCCTTTGTGGATTTTTATTGATGTTTAGCCTAAATATGGGGAGGCTGCTTTTCAGATTCATCTTCTTGAAAAAGTGAGACAAGCTTCTATTTTGACCTTGTTCAATTCTTTTAAAACAGGTTGTCTGTGCATACAACTGAAGGATTTTATCTTCACTCTTTTAAGTGCATTGTGGCTATTTATTATTTGAATCCTGTGTGTATGTTTTAAGGTTTTTAATTACTTGTGATTTTATTCTGTTTTTGATATTTCTTGTGTTTTTTATGTATTTGTAGGTTTTAATTTTTATGATTGGCTGGATATGATGTGGGTTGTGAGGCGCTTTGTGTTGCCTTGTGTAGGAAAGGCGCTCTACAAATAAACGTTGATTGATTGATTGACTGATTGAAGCACTGAGAAGCTTGATTCTTTTGCTACCCCTTTTTTTGACTGATTTTGTTTATAGCATGAGGCTGGATATGTGTTAAACTTCGACTCAAACCCATTTGTTCTGTTTTCTTGTTGCAAAATATATAATTCAGACAGATTAAAGAGTGTCATAATCCAATTTACGGGCCCCCACTCACCTACAGACCTGCCAATCTGATCTGACCCAGAGCTCATCTTCCTAATGCAAAAATAAAACACAATCTCTACAGTTGTTTTGCTGGTTTACTTTTGGTTTCAATGAAGAATGTTGAGTTTTACGCTCATAAAAAAGTGCTTATTTATGGTCCAACCTCGCTCAAAAACCGAAAGCCATCCTATAGTGAATAATAAAGTAATAATATCTCTGTTTTTTCCATTTCAGGTGTGGGTTCGTCGACTGCCGTTTCCTTTTCTGCGTTCCTTAATGGCCACTATCCACCTGCCGACCTCACAGGAGACATCACTATCTCCTACACTGCACCAACAGGTAAACCCTCCTTTAATTATCCATACAATTTAATGTATTCCTTTTTGATACATTGAATAGACTTTTGGCTTTTATATCATGATCAGAAATAGGATGGGCATTTACCGCCACCTGTTCTGTTAGGAGTCCACCATCTTTAATATACTAAAGTTCAGAGTTTGTTCTACTCATTATGCTTTAGTGTAGAGTTATTATTCTTTTGTATTGTGTTCTGTGCTGATGCTACACTGAAATTTCCCCACTGTGGGACGAATAAAATATCTCTTAATCTCCCTATTTTTGTAAGGGATAATGTATATTACGCAGGTCATTATCGGAAAATAAGTATCGACAGGGCGAAGCGGGGTCTGCTTCTATGAAGGTTATTTTGTGTTTTTATTATCAACACTTTTTTTTTCTTTTGAATTCTATAAACTGTAACAAAAAAGTATTCAGTGTAAATAAATTCAATGTTTTAAAATTCAGTGTCCAAAAATTCAATGTTTTAAAATTCGGTGTCAAAATATTCAATGTTTTAAAATTCAGTGTCAAAATATTCAATGTTTTAAAATTCAGTGTCAAAATATTCAATGTTTTAAAATTCAGTGTCAAAATATTCAATGTTTTAAAATTCAGTGTACAAAAATTCATTGTTTTAAAATTCAGTGTCAAAATATTCAATGTTTTAAAATTCATTGTCAAAATATTCAATGTTTTAAAATTCAGTGTCCAAAAATGCAATGTTGAAAAAAATTCAGTGTCCAAAAATTCGTTGCATTTTTTTTCGCTGCTTGAAATGTCATGCTTAATTTTTGGGTAAATCGAGAACAAAGCAATCGATCAGCCAATCCTCCATAGATGTAGCCAGGGCCAGAACACGACTTTGGCTTTATCCGAATGTCCGCACTATACCCTATTCACTCACTCACTACATAGTGCGGGACTATATAGTGAGTGAGTGAGTGAGTGAGTGGACTCATTCTGATGGCGATTCGGACGCTGCACACTATTATCAGGCCGTGCTGTTGTACGTGAGCGTCCCGCTGTAGCGTGGATCACGGAGCGGAGAGAGGAGCGGCCATGATGAGGTAAAGGTAAAAGTTGAATTTACGTTTTAATTAGGACATAACATTTAATTGTATTAACATTGGAGGTGGGAAATACCCCTTCTATTGTTATATCAGAGGTCTGTTTGGTGATTAAACAGATTTTCTTTGGACTTTTTCTCCAGCCTTGAGCTCCAGTGCTAACACGCTAACCACGGGTGTAGAGCTGCGCTGATGCCCAGAATGGAGCGTCATGCGCTCGGAGTCATTTTGAGAGCTCCCTTATGCTAACAGTCTTAACTGTGGAAGTAATTATGAAAACCCAAAAAGGCGACTTTTGTATCATACTTTCTCTGTTATAACAATTGTTTTAAGAGTAATCATTAGTCTTAAAAATGTGATATTTCATGTAAATAATGCATGTGTTTAGTGCGATTGATGGATTTGCTATGGCCCTCGTTTGTGCATCACTTTGTTGTAAAGTAATTTGTATTAAGTACAAACGTGATTATGTGCAGGGGGACATCTGTGAACATGAAGCTGGACACAGAAGACGCGTGGACTTGAACTTACGGACCAGGTTTAAGGTCATGAGTACTTACTTTTTGAGCACAAGCTCCTTGCCTCTTGAAATCCAACAGACCTGATCATATCAGAGTTAATGGCTTAAATGTATTTAAGATTAGAAGTAGTACTTAAATACAAGCTATGAAACATGTTTCTCACGGATTGTGTGGTTGGATAAAAAAACGCATACATCACTTTTCATTGCACACAAAGAACTAAATCATAATTATTTTATTTTATTCCAGGTTGTGATGAGTCTACCGTAGAAAAGACAGTCAGAGGCAGACGTCCAGGCACCTGTTGTTACTGCTGCTGCTGTTGCATGTCTTCAGAAAATGAGAGATGTGTTCTAACTAACCATGACTTGTAATTAATAAAACAAATGAACATATTGGTCGTTGTAGTTTATATCGTAATCCACAGGAGCTGGAGGTGATGGAAATGGATGAAGAAATGATGCCTCTGGAAGACAGCTGCCTCTGGAAAAGAAATTCACACAAAAAATCATTAATTAATCGGGTTCTTCTGGGATTAAAATCAGCCTTTTATTACAATCAGACATGTCGACATATATGTTCATAATTCATATACATGTACTGTCCCAGTCAAATTAATTAATATAAATACACAGTAGAGTAGAAACAGACGCTCTGAGGAGGAGCAGAAGTACGATGCCTTTACAAACACACACATGAACTTAACATGTCATATCAACAGTAAATGTAAATACATTGCCAGTCTTTAACAGGAGGCTGGTAGAGTGGGATTTACGGATTTACAAATATACTCAAAAAACCATATCTATCAGTCTGATTCCTCTCTGTAGCATTAATATTGAATCCATGGGTTTGTTTTCTCCCTAAAAGAACCGATCCTTCATTCCATCTTGGTTTCACTAAGATGTCAACATTTAAGAGTAAAGATAGAATAATTATCGGAGGTCTAGATACATAAAAATGAACAACATAATTAACAACAACCCCTTAGCATGCTCTGTCTCTAAAACAGTCAGCAGGTTTCGTCCTTGTTGCACTGCTAGAATAATATACACATTGAAATTGGGAACATAGTACATATGTCACACAAGAACCTCAAACCCCCATGTACTTGGCTTTCCTGCGGTTCATTTTAGCTTAGCATTAGCAAAGATTAGCTTTGGAGAATCGCCAAAACATAAAATCCACCTACGCGGAGCTAGCTAATGATAAGCTAAGGGAAAAACATGTTCAGAAAGTACAAACAGTAGTGGTTTGTGTGTTACATACCAACTAATGATGAGAAAACACACTTACTGGTTTGCTGTGGACGCCATGTTCAGATGAACAAGACAGTCGTGTTCTGGCCCTGGTTACATCTATGGAGGATTGACTGATCAATTGCTTTGTTCTTGATTTACCCGGAAATAAAGCATGACATTTCAAGCAGCGAAAAAAAATGCAACAAATTTTTGGACACTGAATTTTTTTCAACATTGAATTTTTGGACACTGAATTTTAAAACATTGAATTTTTGGACACTGAATTTAAAACATTGAATTTATTTACACTGAATACGTTTTTGTTACAGTTTATAGAATTCAAAAGCAAAAAAAAGTGTTGATAATAAAAACACAAAATAACCTTCATAGCTTTCGCCCTGAAGGTACTTATTTTCCGATAATGACCTGCGTAATATACATTATCCCGCTTATTATACGGCTTTGTACAAACAGAACACACAAAATAAGCTTCAGTTTTTTAAACTTTTTCTTGCATGAAAACAGTATTTTGTCAGATGATTCTGAAAACCTCTGTGCATGTGTATTAAGAATATATGTATTCTCCGATTAATATTTAAATGTGTTGATTGATTGGTATTTGCGTTTATTGAGCGTGGCTAGCTCCGAAGTGGCTGGAGCTACTTGCGGAGTAATCTACACATCGGTCATTATTGTTTTGAGAGGTCGGTTATCAAGAAATAATGACCGGTAGAACGTTTTGGAATTACATTCAAATCAATGGAGCGTTCTACTGCTGCTGTGAGGAGCCGTGTAATAAACATCTATATCTAAATTTTTGTCTGCAATGTTATACAATGTTACGCTACATGAACAACATCAGAATTCTTGAACAGAGACTAGTTTTGATTTGGTCTCAGTCCTGGGGCTTGTGGAAAACCGCACCAGTCGAGGGCCCTGTAACTCCCAATGTTGTTGTGGATGTGATGCATTAGCTCATGCAGACGAAGGCACCTCTGAGTGAATGTGACGTGAGCTGGAGTTTGAGAAGTTGATGTCATCCGTCCTGTACATCCCCTGACTCCGCTCCAGGCTTATTCCCGTTGCCTTTGGAAGATATGACACGTTTCCACAGAAGCTCTTTTAGGTGAAAAACAGGCCGAGTTTTGAGTTTTAACAATCCCAACAGCAGCTCATGAAAACAGCTAGCTGCTTTAGCGTCTATTGTTCTGCCGGGGTTGAATGGAGTTGTTGGCAGGCTCCTGTTTGGAACACTACCTGAAAACATTTTTATGTGTAAAAAAACAGTTGTTCAGAGACTAAATATAGATCAATAAAAGGAAGGAAAAAAGTCTGGGCAACACAGTTAATACATGTGGAGAGAATGACTCATGACAATTGCTTCTGAATAAGATCTGGGAAATCGTGAAGTACTTTGTGGGATAAAGATGACTTTGTTATGGACCAATGGCTCTATGTGTTTTTATTGCTGCATTTCTTGTGTTGAACTGTTTGATTCTCTGATCTGCGTTGGCGAAATCGACAGTTTTGTAAAGTCGTTCGAGATAAATACTGTTGTGGTTTAGGGCTATACAAGAATACATTGATATGAATTGAATTACGGATACTACTTAATTCAATCAGATTGTGACGGGGTGAGCCCGTCCCTGAGCACGCTGTCCCTCGGAGCGCATGTGAAGATGCGCGCGCCCGGTGCCATGGTGGCTGCGCGCAACGGCCAAGCCCATTCATTGACTACTGCTAGGGACTGTGTTTGTGACATGTAGCGTGCGTGAACGCGTCTTCAGGGTGCACACTTGGAAGCGTTGCATGGTGTGTTAAATCTGTTACATGTGTCATTCACTCGCCTGTGTGCTGGCGTGGTCGGGGCGTCTCCATGGTGCGTTTTGGCAAACCCGGACACAAGGAGCCATAGGATTAAATGCACCTGTCTGTGGGTCATGTGACCACAGCTCATTTGCATGGACATTTGGACTCTTCGTAGTGTGCTCATAATTTATTTCATTGTATATGTGTCAATGTAGAATTGTAATGTGAAATCATGAACCTAAGGAAAGCGCCATGTATTGTAGATATGGTTGGTTATTAGGATGATTGGTTTTGTAACGTGGGAGGGGCCGGCGGGGTACATAAGGTGTGCTTGTCTGCCCCATGGGAGTCGTGACTCGGTT